TTGAGGAAGACAGGATCCGTCCGAATATGCGCGAGTCTGGACGCCATCTGTGAGCTTCAAAGCTATAGAAAGGTGAAAGAAAAACTGTTGAGGATAAGTGAACAAAAGAAAAGGAAACTACTAAAAAAGGGAAGAATGGTTAGAAGGTTCTGGAGTGTAAGTTAGAGGAAAAACATAGCATATTTTCAGAGGTATGCTAGCAAAGACGTGGTGACAATGCCACCCATGGTGTGTCAAAGTTTCGTTCCCATCTCTTCTCTAAATATACAAGGTGATTCTAGCAACTGGTGCCCTTGCAAAGTGCATCGATGCATTTCTGAAAAACAATCGTACCATAGTATGGTAAAGCTGGTTAAATAATGCAATGTTTCCCTCTACGATTTTTTTCTAACCTCACTTGGAAGAGAGCTATAGTCTGGCCCAGTTACTAGGATCACCCTGTATAATCGTATCATAAATCAATTGATTAGCGTCTATATACTTTACCCTAAGCGTGCATTACTATATCAAACAATTTGTCTTGAAATATTTGATTTTCAAATTTACGTAGTTTAAAATAGGTAGTATCAATTTAAGTGCCTTAAATGATCTAATACATTTAAATATTTCAATTGTATAGAACGTCTAAAGGATTCGAAGTTTGTCAAGCTGCTCTCATTCTTTCTCAATTGTATTCGAAGAAGTACCAAACGAATAATTGTACAAGAAACTTTAGGAATCAGTATCGTTACACTGATAAGATGCAGATAAATGGCTTCTTTATTCTATCTACAAAGTATCTGGCTTTGAAGCGAATCACTGTTGCAGCGAATGAATCAATTTCGTTCTATTATTACGATCGGCTGACGAGATGCAATGGCAAAAGAAGGGAATGAGTCACTTGCCGGCTTGTGACACACATATGCGAATACAGCCGCGTTCCTTTATGCACGTGTAGTGTACGTGTTCGTAAACCTCGTCTGAATGTTAGGTTAAAGCATGGACAGTCGTGGAGAATCGTCGTACTCTACCGCGGCAGTCACCGCTGTACCCGCTTCTTCTTCATTACTCATCGCTCCGGCGAATCATGCAAATCACGTTTCAAGTAAACATTCATATAACATATATATATGCTCACACGGTGTCGTTTCTCCTTACATTTTCGTTGAAACGTTTGCATAATGCGCACTCTAATCGTCTCTAATGATCATCCATCGTGTATAACAATTTCAATAAATTATAATTCATTTTATTTCCTTCCTTGAACAAATTTGCAAATCGGCAATTTGCAGTTCGATTATCACTTTTGAAGGTGAGATTCATTTCTACGTATTTTGAGCGTTTATTTAATTGTAACTAGAATTATATCTCTCATTGAAAATGTAAATTTTCATTAATATATTCGTTTAATGTTTTCATTGATATATATTATTTGGTCAAAGGTAATATTATTGTCAGTGAGGAAAAATACAAGGCTGATCCACGATAAACTAACAAATAAACAAAGACAGATCTTATTGCACTGATAAAGTGCTTCGGTACTTTAAATAACCTCAAAAAATATAATCAGCGTGTTTTCACGAGACCCTTCGTCATGCCATAGAATATAGCGCTGGGAGAAAATACATTATGGGTTACGGTAACCATACGTCCTCTATTGTAAAGGACAGACTTTCATTTCAGGTAGCTGCCCTTTTAGATTTCTTTACTTTTTTAAAACTCAATTTTCTCCATTACTTTTACAATATTACAGGAAATTGTTTTCTGTTTAGTGGTCTATTGTCGTACTAGCATAAGAATTTTAACGATTATTACGATTTTAAAATCCATTCATCTAAAAAATATCGCTAAAATATCTTTTTTGTAAATTCTTGTTAACACTATATAATTTGAATATCAATTAATTGTAATTCATTATTAAACGAAGCAAAATATTTCGTTAACTATTGCATTTAGAACCAATAATTGTTAATACTTCTTTATTTGGAAATTAATATTCTTCTGAATTTTGTCCTAAAAAATACAACATTCCATTTATCAGGTGTACGAATTAAGTGGTCCACTCTGTATATTACACGTATGTCTTTCAATAGTGTGATTACGAATTACACTGTTAAAATTACACAGAACAAATATAATGAATTCCATGTTTTTGCCAATAGTTAGAAGCCATTTAATACTATACTAACAAAATTGCCGATTCATCTTAGCACATGAATATTTATCGTCACGGTATCAGTACTGTTTTTGTCATTTAATCAAGTCAATCGACTTACTCGTACGATGAATAAATAACTTTACGCTACTTAATTCAAACTACACTTGTGATTACATGGAGAATTAACTACATGCTATGAACATCTATAAACATTAACACGGAAATAATGCACATGATTACTTTCTCACTCTTACAAATAACAATATAACCTAACCTTAAATATTAAGACAATTGACATGTTTTGTATCATTAGTTAAATACTTCCTTAATTCTCTTATAATCTCACTATATATACTTATAAATATTAATAGTGCAATATATAAGTATACGAATCTATGAAATATTGAAATAACTACATACATGGTAAATGAAGATTTCATTCATGAATTAGGAAACTTTATTTTATGGTTAATTTGTCTCAATAAATAACGTTATTGAAAATTCATCCACTACATGGCCTAATGAAGAATTTGAATACACATTGATCTGTAATTTTTATGTATGAACTTCGAAAAAACGGATATAAAACAGGTACAAAATTCGTTTCATTTCTATGAGGACACGACACGTGGATGACCTGCGTATACATGTATGTAAGTATGTATGTATGTATACCATCTGGTTTGTAGGAATGGTCACCTCAATTTCGTAAAACGTGATGGATTCACAAAGAAAGTGGAGATTTAGAAATTCATTCGTTCAACTTTGCTTACAGTTGTCTGTAAAGAGTATGTTTTAGCTATTGTAATTTTAACAATTTTTGATAAGAATATTCTAATTATTTAAACACTACGAACAGTGACCAATTTTGCAATGTTATGTATAACCTTTTTAATACTTTATACATAATGTAATAATTAATTTGAAATATAGCTTAACACTAATGTTTTTAATTTATGATTATAAATAAAGCTAATATGTGCATGTATGTTATTTTTTAAAATATGATATGTAATAAATTCCATAATTATAAAAAAGCAAATTTTGAGAAATATATTCGCGAAGTGCACTTATAAATGATTATGTATATTTTGAAGAATTATTAAAAAGTAGATGCAACGATTCTTTTAGTCACTGTGGTACACCTTTTCCTAAACAGAAAATTAAAAACAAATAACGTCACAAACGAACATTCAATACTCTTTATGTCAAGATGTTACGTCTGACAGATAGAACATTTATAAAATCGGGCCGGTGGTACACGAATAACCTTTCTTCTTTTTTTCGGCGTTATTTGTTATTTTCTATCTGTATACCGATCAATACGTGTGTATCTTTATGACGCGTTCATTGTTAAAGTCAAGCGAATTAATATCAGAAATGTAACTGCGATTTTGCTATTAATGACGTCAATTTCCGCAATACTTGACTTCATTTTATCGCCTTTAATTGTTCTAGTATTTTATCGTTGATAATATACTCTATTTAATTTAGTCCATGCTTGTTATGTATTATTAAATTTTAAATAACAGGAACTATTAGAATAATTTAATTTAATATACTAATTGTTGTTCCTACGTTAACGATAACGTTACACAATTGGCAACACTGATAACTAAACTTAAAAATGCTTAATAATTAAACGATTGATAATTCTGAAGTGTTAAAACATGCTTAAAGTTTTTATTGCACATATAATCAAAATTGAAAATATTACGAACGTTTATTATTAGAAAAACGTTAATCTAAGAGAGGGAAATTCCCTCGCTAGTTAATCTAAAGGCAGTGTCGCCAATCACATCACAGCGGTATGTAACGCCGCGTCGGTATATGTGATCAGTCGCTAATGGATACCAGTGTGAAGACCGGTGACAGATCACACATACCGATACAGCGTTATCGCTGCAGTATGATCACCGGCACTGCCTTTAGGTTAACTAGCGAAAGAATCACCTAGATATAAAGGTAAAAAATTTGAAATAATGTAAAATGTTAATTAAACTTGTTACGTATATTTAATTTTAAATAATTTATGACGTAACAAGAAAACAATTTGACTCTTATAAATCATAACAAAATTGTATTTTCAACTATTATTTTGAAAGTCTCAATTCCCTTGGCACATTTTAATAATAGTAATACATGTTGTTACAAATATGAAGTTTATACAAGTTGCAACATGAAAAATTTAGGAAATACAGTACTAAATATGAATAAATAAAATTGTATTAGGTTATGTAAAAGAAAATTTTCCAACTTTATAATCAATTTTTGTTACTTTTAAACTTAAACTTAAAAGTATAAATTTCATTAAACAAACGAAGAGATTTGACCTTGAGTAATATCCACCGAATATTCTCACTAGCTTAAAATTTGGAAGATGAAATGCATTATTTTACATTTTTACTATGAAAACGTAATTTTAATATCAATTGAACAATACAGTCAATATTTTGACGTTTAATTAATTTTAATGATTCTAAACAATTGTACATCAAAAGTTTGAGTTAGATTTACTGTGAGCTACCAATAATTTTTTTATATTAAATTTGTTAATCAATAATGAGATTTTTTAATATAATTAATATTTCACGAATAAAGAATTTATTTCACGTAAATTTGCAACTTAAAAAGATCATGGGTTCGTCAACGTCTTATTACGTAGTTGAGAAAGTTGAACGCAGTGCGCAGTGCGCACGCGCCTCACTTCAAAACTCGATAGTTGATTCGTAAGAACCACAGTCCTTTAAGTTGGCTACCCTGTCAGTTCTTTGTTCGCTACTGGTAGCGGTTGAACGTTGTCAGCGTTTCTACTGTAACGGTCGAATAGTCTTATTCGTCTTTCGACAGTTAACGAGAAAGATTGTTTGTCACATCGATCTGTTCGATTCTATTAGCTTAATCGCTTTTACTTATACTTTTTCATCGACGATCAAAGAGTAAGTACTATTAAATTAAAGTAACTTTATCCGTCGTTAATACTGTTCCGCCATATTTGCCGGTAAATACGATGCTTCCTTTTCTCAATATGCACGTGTCATTTACTAGGCATTAAAAATCAATATACTTAATTAGTACTGAATGACATTTGTACGTAATTAAATAAACCAGTATCGGAAGAAATAAAGATCACTCTTATTTATACAATTAATCGTTGCTATTTTACATAAACAAAATAATTTGTATCACGGTATTCAAGCAAAACAATAGGAAATAGTATTGTAGATTCTTAGGTCAAACACGAACAGCAAAAAGTGTTTTACTTTGTAACACATTTTTTTTTTCAATTCTTAGAAGCGTGAGCCGATGCCTATATAAAAACAAATATATTTCATGTTTGTATAGATTTTTCTTTGAGAATGTTTTCACATATTATGCTTTGTGCTACGATGTCCTTGCAAACCGGTTTTTTGGTAGCAGGATGTATGTTTAAGTATTATTGAAATTAAAGTAAATATAATATTTACCAATTTTTATTTTCTATAATAATATGCACGAAATATTTTGTGCATAATATATCGGTTAAATTGTTTTCTAACAGTTTCATGTTTCGAATTGTAACGAAATAGTATTAACTTAAAATGCAAAATTTTATTATTGTTGTGAATTTCAGCGGTTTGTTTATAACTTCTATTGTAAAATTTTATAGGATATAATGGACGACGATTGGGTTCACGATTTTAGTTCTTCTAATGCACAGAATACATCTTCTGTGAGTAAAAGTTTTTCCATTTTACAAATAATTTCTAATAAGAATTTATTGTAAATAAATTTTGAAATTAGTTTGAAGGTGGACGCAGTTATGGAAAAGGACGTGGTTTTATAATACAAAACAACAACAATGATGATTGGAGTGCAGGCTATAAAAATTCCAATGGTGGAGATACAAACAATGATGAATCTGGTGGTGAAAATAATTGGCAACGTAATGATGATGGCAATGATTTTGAAGGCACTGGTAGAGGAGGAGGCAAAGGGAGAGACAATGGTAGAGGTGGATTTAGAGGAAGGGGAAGTAATCGGGGCAGAGGAGGATTTAGAAATAGAGATGGTGATGATAGAAATTCAGATCACAGAAGAAACAATGACTATGAGGATGGTGGTGATACTGATCAGGATAATAGAGGTGTGAGGCGAAAAGGAACATACTCTGGACATGGTGACAATGATGATGAAGAACCAATGCAAAAACCTAGAGAAATATACATTCCACCAGAATTACCTAGTGATGAAAAATCCTTATTTGAAAATGGAGTTGAAATGGGCATTAATTTTGATAAGTATGATAAGATTGAAGTTAATGTAAGTGGGGAAAATGTACCTCAACCAATAGAGAAATTTGAAGCTACTGGACTTAGAAATATCGTGTTGGAAAATATAAAAAAGTCAGGATATACAAAACCCACTCCAGTACAGAAATATGCTTTCCCAATTATAATGAATGGCCGTGATTTAATGGCTTGTGCACAAACAGGTTCAGGAAAAACTGCTGCATTTGCTGTTCCTATTATAAATACATTATTAGAAAAACCTACTGATTTAATTATAACTTCAACATATTGTGAACCACAAGTGATTATTGTATCACCTACCAGAGAACTTACTATACAAATATGGCAACAAATTGTTAAATTTTCTTTGAACTCAATTATAAAAACTGTAGTTGCATATGGTGGAACATCTGTAATTCATCAAGGAGGAAAACTGTCTAAGGGTTGTCATATACTTGTAGCAACACCTGGAAGATTATTAGATTTTCTAGAGAGAGGAAGAATTAAATTCTCTTCTGTTCGGTTTCTTGTCCTGGACGAAGCCGACCGTATGTTAGACATGGGATTTTTGCCTAGTATTGAAAAGATCGTAGATCACGAGAGTATGGTTCCTCTGGGTGAAAGGCAAACGTTAATGTTTTCTGCTACTTTCCCAGATGAGGTACAACACTTGGCAAAAAGATTTCTAAACGATTATCTATTTCTCGCAGTTGGTATTGTAGGTGGAGCATGTTCAGATGTAGAACAAAATTTTTACGAAGTTGCCAGAAACAAAAAAAAAGATTTACTCAGAGAAGTCTTAGAGAGAGAAAATGATGCAGGCAGATTAAGTGGTACCTTAGTGTTTGTTGAAATGAAAAAAAAAGCAGACTTTATTGCTGTTTTTTTATCTGAGAATAATTATCCTACTACCAGTATCCATGGCGATAGATTACAAAGACAAAGAGAAGAAGCATTAGCTGATTTTAAAACTGGAAGAATGTCTATTTTAGTAGCTACAGCTGTTGCTGCTAGAGGTTTAGATATAAAAAATGTATCACATGTTATAAATTACGATTTACCAAAGGGAATTGATGAATATGTTCATCGAATTGGAAGAACTGGTCGCGTTGGAAACAGAGGAAAAGCGACTTCCTTTTTTGATCCTGACGATGATGGACACCTGCGAACTGATCTTATTAGGATACTGAAACAAGCGAGTCAACCTGTTCCAGACTGGTTAATGGGTGGAAACGCGAACCGAAACTTTATGCCTGGAAAGGGCAGTAAGTTTGGAGGAGCAGATGTCAGAGGAGTATGTAATCTAATTATATTCCCATGATGATATTGTAATTAAAAAATAGACAGTATATAGATATTTTTTCTATACAGTTTGAAACAACTGGAGACGAATATGCCGAAGAAGTATCCAGACAACCCCCCGCTGAACAGCAGCTTGAACCAGAAGACGAATGGTAGAAAGTTTGCTTTTTTCGTCTATGCACTTATTCGTATTATTTTGTTAGAAACAGGGTAGTAAACTTTGTTTCTTTATTCACTAAGTTCTCACATATTTAATGCTGATGTTGAATGGAAATCAATGCGTAATAGTAATTCTTTTTGTTTGTATCGGATTCCACAATGATTAATAACACGTTTAAGTGAAATAGACTGGATTATGTACCTCCTTAGAAGTATAAGTTACACATGAGATAACGCAATGTTACCTTCTTTGATATAAAGAGTTTAACTTTAAGAAATGATGCGCAATTTGCGCGAAACGTTCCAGCTGTATCTCTCGACACAGTTTATTGTACTTTATCGACCGTACAAATGTTAGTTTTTAAGAACAAATTATATAAGCATTTGTCAAAGCTTCTATTAAGAAATAATGATAAAAACTATAATACTTTTGTAACTTTGGAAATCTATACATGTTTATGTTAAAATAATAAAAATGTTGTACATACCGTCATTCATGCCCATATCCATTAGATGTAAATCCTCGTCATTAAGAAGAGATGAAAGAAAACCATCAGTTGTTTGATTGATTGAATCAGAAGTTGGTGTATGGTAATACATCATATCTGCCGGCTCAGATTTGTAAGCTGCTCCGCTTTCTGCACCCATCGGTTCACTGCTGTTTGTTAAATTCATTGATGTTGCCACGGCTGAACCCAGATTTGATGACCCACCTATAGCAATGAGTATTTGAGTTCGAAAAAATTAGATGGTGAACAAAATTTGTTGCATTATTTCTTCACATTGTTCATTAGATTTGTTATATCTGCTACATGTGCGTTTTACGCATTGCGTGATAAAATACGAGGGGAGGGTCAATAATTATCCGGAATATATTTATAAAATTTATTAAAGCATTAATAAATATGTGTTTCTGCATTGTTTTTCAATATAGTCTCTCACTCAGTTAATATGGGTCAAAAATTTTAGGCCTTTCATATGTAGTTATTTTGAATGGTTTAACTACGTCATAATCTGAAAACACGAGGTTAGGATTATAGGCGGGATATTGCACTATTTCAAAGTGTAGTTTTTCGAAAGCTTCAATAGTTAGTGTAGCAAAACTATTGTTTTTTCTTGGTGCACACTAGTAATGAAGTAGTCATCTAATATCTCCAAAACATATGACAGGAGTGAGCTATTAAGTTGAAATTTCAAATGGAAAACTAAGAGTTAGTGACATTTACGATTCACATACAATTCGCAGTATAGTCTGTAAAAAGTTATAGGCCTTATTCCGGACAATTGTTGACCCCCCCAATTGTAGATAAGGAACAATAGTTCATATTTTCCTGTTTCGCAGTTTTTTCTTTTTATCACGATTTATTACAATTTATCCCAACATCGAGTGTGACATGTTCTTGTGTTAGTGAGATGGATATGAACAAAATTACATCGTGTATAACATCAAATTTGGTTAACTCAATGTCCAGAAGACTGGTGGTAATTATAAGATCAAAAGGAAATCCTACGAAATATTAATTAATGTATTTAACTTATTTCTTTGTTATGAAATTAACATAAATTACTTTTTTATTGTTGAAATTTTAAGGTATATTTCTCATTTAGCAATTGTACGAATACTTATTGCTCGCATATATCTGTCGATTTTTGCATTTTTCTTATGAATTTCGCAAGTTATACAAGTATCTGATATTTATTTGCATGTCTATTCTAGAGATCTCCGAAAACATGTACGAACTCGTTTTACAAAACTTAGTTAATTAACCACAATTTTACGTTGTTTGAAATTAGTCGGTGTACGAATATTATATGTGTATAGAAATAAATTCTACTTATATCAACTAAAAGTCATTGTGCATCAGATTAAAGGAAAATATGATCGCTTTAAAAGTGATTCCAGTTTACGAAGGTCCTTGTTATAACCAAATGAGGTTATGTAATTGTCGCATAGTGCAGTTGATACAACACTCGAAGTATTTAACCTACTGATACAAAGATTTGTTTAAAATGAATGTAAAAATTTGGAAGTTAGACTTTTCTCTCGGAGGATATACATATGTATATCATATCATAATACATACGAAAATTTCATTTCAACTATCATTAAATATTAATGTTTGCGTCTATATCAATTTTAACAATATCGTCATATATGTATATATAAAATGATGGTA